GAATCACTATACAGAAATTTCATGAACAGACTTTTTATAATTTTATTTTCCGGCAGAGATTTTTTATTATTATTATTATTTTTTTTAATCCTGAAAAAGGTTCTATTAAAATTGATGCCTTTCTACCAAATTTGCTTATAATGGTTTCCACTAGCATCTGGAGGTTGGGATTCACTATTATCTCAAAGCTTGTTAAAACATTCACTTGCATTTGAATGCAAAAATCTTGTGTGATTCAATTTTGTCTCGTGTTTATTTTCAAAGTAACAACCTCCAATGAATAAGATAGAATATCCTTTCTGATCTTTGTTGAGTGTATTCATATACCGTCCTTCTCCAACAAATACTAATTCTGATGTTGCCTGCAGACCTTTTACAAAGTTGTTAGGAGCTGGGCCTCAAAAAAGTTCTTGACTGGATGGTAAGTACTATTAGTTCTGTATTGATCTGCCGAGTTATCTTTAGACTCTGAGTATGAGTTGTTATTTTCAGCTATTAATTCATCCTGTTCATTAATTACATTTCTTAAATTGACTGTCACATTTCAGTGATCTCTATCCAAAACTTTTAGGTTGTAGGTTCAATATGACTGTATTGGTACTTCTTGGCTATATTTATACGGTACAAATACACAAGGACTAGACTGGGGAATGCAAGAGTTTCTACTCTGATCATACCATTATGTTTTAATATGTTTTAATGGATCAAAGAGTGGTGAGGGTGGAGCGGATGGACTGGTGCAACATTCTTCCTGAAGGTTTGAAACATGTCATAGTTTCTTAAATTTGTAAACTTGATGGATGAACAAGCTTTAGGCTACCCTGTGCATAAGGCATTAATGATCAACCCAATTGTCAATTCTGACAAGAACTCCCTGTAATATCTCTGATATACAGATCCAAGGATTAGTTTTATATGGTCTTTGGGCATGGTAATCGTTGTCTGATTGATGAGTAACTTTTTGCTGGGTTCTTTTGTACTAGATGCATCTTTGAGTCAAATCAAATATGGATTGATCTTTAAAGAAATTCTTTACATGTATGGTGAAATTCTGTTTGAACTGGCAGCTGAATGGTTGTGATTTCATTGACGAAGTATAGATGTTGTACAATTAGTCTTTAACTTCGTGCCTGACTATTTTACCTGTTCCATTGGTAGCATTCATAAATGGAAATCCTAACATTACCATTCTCTGTCTACATTTGGAAAAGAAAGGGCTGTGACTCATTTCACATGGCTCATCAATTTCCTATGCATGTCCTGCCCTTTAAGACCCTCATCCTCCAAATAAATGTTGGAGGTTTTATGCTTTTGATCCTTTAATTGTTTCCTGACTTTTGTTTGCCTTGATAGATGGATAGATCATTTTTCAATGAATATGTATGCATAGTTCTCTATTGTACAATCCAAATGAAATAGGATTCAAGAAACTATCTTGTGTCACACCAGACCCCTGTTTATTTTCTCTTTGCTGCTAATACGTTCACTAACTCTATCCTTGCGCAGTGTCATCCTCTTGCCTATAGCAACCACTTTCTATATCACATGGTGGTTTATTCATCTTGTCGATGGGTTCTTCTCCCCGATTTATGAGCAACTTGGAATTGAGATCTTTGGTAAGCATGTTGCTCCTTTTTCTAACACCAATAAGTGTGAGCATGTTTTAAGCATTATTATGTCACTTCAATACCTTGTTGCCAATCTTAGTTCATACATTTTCTGATGGAATTCTAGAAGATATATTATATGGAATACTTTCCAAATTGTACATGTAATTATGGTTTTAGTTTGTCTAATATTTTAATAGATTCTCTAGTGTTTCTCCTTACCTAAATTAGATGGATTATCTAGTATTTTGTTAGATTCTTTGGGATTTTATAAGATGTTTCCTACTTAGAATAGGTTCTTTAAAACCCCATATAGAGGTGCTTATGCATTTAATACATACAACTTTGATAATTAAACAAATTGATACTTTCTCCCCCAATTTCTTTTTATTCTCTCCCTCTTGTTGTCTTTCTCTCCTCTCTTCCCCTTTATTTTTTCAATCTTGTTCTGTTGCATTCTTCATCATCTTCGTTATCCTTTATTGTCAATAGAATAGATAATTAGAACTACCGTCCACATTGAGTTCATTGTTGTTAACTATGATCATTATTACCCTTTTGCAACCATAAGAAACTGTCAATAACGTTAACAGGTCGTTTTGACTGTTATGTCTGACACTTGTAGTAGATATCTTGGCAAAAGATTATTTATCTCTTGTTCCTTTGCCGTTAATACTTGCTCTTATTTCTTTATTTAGGTCTAGGATTTGTTACTTCCATCACTTTCATTTTCTTGGTTGGAGTGTTTATGTCATCATGGTTGGGGACATCTGTTTTGAGCCTTGGCAAGTGGTTCATCAAGCATATGCCATTTGTTCATCATATTTACAATGCCTCCAAGCAGATCAGTGCTGCCATATCTCCAGGTGTTCTTGTTTGAATTTACTTTTCAATTTCAAAAGGGTCGACTTTCCATTACGGAAGGATGATCAATAGTTCTTTCAATATTATTGCAGATCAGAACACACATGCTTTCAAGGAAGTGGCCATTATAAGGCATCCACGTATTGGTGAATATGCATTTGGGTTCATCACTTCATTTGTCACACTCCAGGTGAGCCTCTTCATATTTTAATGTATCACCCTCTCGTCTAGGATATTTGTCTCTGAAATTCTTCTCATGTTTGTGGCGTTGCAAATTTTCTTTCTTTCGTGCAGTTAATGTTTTCTAACTTGCAAAGCTATGCTAAATCATTACTAGGACAGTGTGTTACAATAATAAATCTCACCGATCAGGCTTTAGACAAATGGAGGCTTCCAAATTCTAGAGTATTGTTGATTTGTAAAATGTTAGTTTTATATCCTTTCTTTGTAAGGACAATGCTACATTAACAAACCCATCTACAAAATGTAATTGGAGGGCCGCCACTTGTTGAGTTTGTCAAACATTTTGTACATATATCTTTATCCTTTTTGTAAAATGTTTGCCTGTGTGGTTAGTTTTGTATATAGTTTGACATTGGAGATAAAACATCCCCCCTCGTATTTGTCGTTTGTTAATGTACAAGGGGGAGGGGAATGCCAAACCACCCCCCCCCCCTCTCTCCCGCCACCCATTTTGAAATAGATAAGTTTAAAAACTCTTAACCTATGCTTAATGGACTCCNCTCTAAATGCAGCAGAAAATGTTACAGAGGGAGAGTTGCCTGTTGCGTGATATGCAGACATCTGTTAGCCCATTGTAGAAACAAAGGTTAGTGCGTGTGTGTGTGAGATGGAGAGAGAGACCGGGGGCGCGGGGAAAGGGGTTCATTTTGGGGATGATGGGGGTCGTAATGGGGAACAGCACCAGAGAAAGATATCGAAAGCTTGTCATACCGGTCGCCGACTCTGTTGACCACGATGATGACTCCTCCTCCTCCTCCAAGCCCTCCCCATCTGCCTCCTGTTCTCACTATCACTCTGGTCGCGAGGTATCTATGATTATTTATAATGTATATTTTCTGGGTAATGAAGAAATGAATTGCTCCCGTTGATTCTTCTGTTTGGATTTTGGGATACTTGCTGCTTTGCTTCGATTGAGGACTTATTTCTGAGATGGGTTATTTATGTCGTTTTCCTATTGCTTAACCCGATTCTGTAAATGATAACCTTTTTCCGGGGAGGGGGATGGGCGATGAAGGCGATTTGTAGAAACGGATATGGTTTTTTGATAATTGATGGGATTACTTTGGTAAACGCCACAAAAGGAGTTCTTGGAAATTTGTTTTCTTTTCTATCTTTATGCATTTTGTGTTTTCTATTTAATTTCGTTTATTATGTGCTTAACTTCTGCTTGATGAAATGATCAAGCGAAGGACGTTATTGCCTCAAAATTGAAAGCCGGACATGCTAATTCTGCTTATATTCTATTTACTAGACTTAATCTAGATTGAATTTTTTTGGCAATTTGCCAACATTTTCATTTTTCCGACCAACTTGCAGGCTGCAGCACTTTGCAATGACTTGAAAATGATTTTATTGGCCCTGCAATTGACGTTTATTGAATATTTATATCACTCAGTTATCTTGGATGATCAGTGTTGTCAATTAATTTTACAGAGATCAGTTGTAGGACTTTTGATCGCTCTATGCAAACCTATGCCACTATCAGCACACATTTATCAAGTTAAAAACCACTGAATAATGTGTGAACTCAGGCTAGCTTAAACAAGCACTTATAATGCGAAGCGTTGTACTCGACATTGAGCATGAACATCGAGCACACGAAGCATACAAATGCTAAACTACCAAGCAAGCAAATATACTCTTAATTAATTCAACCAGCCATTCTACATCAGCAAATACAGTTATCGAAGCACACATGAATAATAATATAAAACCTGTTAGAAATGATTTCACAACATATGGATGAGGGACACGCGTCTTGGTGCATAAAACGTGAAAAATAATATATCAACAATCAATTATTCTTGAATGTTAGTTAGTTAGTTGATGACATGACAGATTCTATTATTAGTTAGAATTGTAGCGCTGTTCTCTTCCAGTTAGTTTTGTTAGTTTGTTACACATGAGCTGATTTCTATATATATGTTGTAAATACAGATCAGAAAATC